ACATACATACATACATACATACATACATACTTCAAGGTCGAAGACAAACTCCGGCCTGTGTGCAAATGCATGAGTACACACGAACCTACTCTCAGTTCAAACATATGCCTATGCTACAGACATCTGAAAACTAGTGAAATATCACCCTTACCCATTGTCAGCCTTCTAGTAGCAATGACGCGTACTAGACACCATACGCATCACGCAGCTCCAAAAGCAAACGCGACAGTGCGTCCTCACATGTCATGCCAGTTTAAGCAGACTGCAAAACGTGCAAAACCTAAACCGCCAGCAGCTTCAACAGCTACCACATTGCGGAAGCATTGCTGAAGGCTTGCACGCCATACGTTCGATGCCAACGCGATGTCGCCAAACCATGAATGAAATGGTCCTAAGTATCCATATGGGGAACACTTACCCAAACTCAAACCATAATGGTCATTCCTACTGTAGAATCCCTACGCACTACTATGTAGGTGTAGGCATAGGACCCTTTGTGTCAAGCTCGCCTCTTCAAACATGTCGGTGACCAATATCCCAGTGAGCTGTAGGTCTATGGGGGCCGCACCACAAAAAAGCAGGGCCAAGGCATGTCCGGGAAGCCAAAACTACCCAGGGACCCGACGTCCCAATTCAGCCCTAACCACTGTGATCCGGAACACCAAAGCTCCGGAAACCTAAGATTTCCAGACCCTAAACCCTAACCCTGCACCCTGCGAAGCTGTAGAGCTCTGAACCATTTAGCCCATTGTTCATTAACCGCGAAAGCCCTAAAAAACATGGTACCTACCTTGGTCTATCTGGAGTCTTCGGGATACTCTCAGCCCAGAAAGCCCTCATTAAGCCCAAAGACCCTCTAGCCCTTAAAGCCGCAGGAAAAAAAAACAGAAGCCTGAACAAACAAGCTCGAGTTTTTCAGACTAGTATACTAAACTAAACATATGAAGAAACCCTGAGAACCTCTAGATAGCCCTAAAACCTATGGTAAGCCTTAAACCATACACGTTTAAGGCCTATAGACCTTCAAGCCGAAAACCTGAACACCCGCTAGATTTCACTTTCTTGTTTAGGGCTGAGTTCGGGTCTTAAGCAGTCTGTCCTCTTCCTCGTCTACAGCTTCCCTGACGACGAGCTCTCTCCCCAGCACGGGGTCCTGGGACAAATCCATTTGGTAGTGGTGGCAGCAGTAGCAGTAGTAGCAG